CCACTTCCATGTGATGCGTTTGTCGGAGGTAGTTCTATTAGTCATCGCTTCGCCAGTTCCTTTGTCACTCACAAAAGCTGTGTTCTTGGCCTCTGCGGTGCGCTCGACCTCCATGCATCCATCGCCTCGTATGCATGTCCAGGCTGCAGTTGAGATGGATGGGATGCTGGAGTGTGGTGGACGGATGATTACCATCTCCATCAGTGCTGCGAGCCTGTTTGTTCTCCACGTGTGTGGGAGGGGCTGAGGGGCGCGGTGTGGGAGCATGCTGACGGAGTAAAGCGAACTTGGGAGGTGACGAGGTCCTTCATGAACGCTTGGATCACGTTGGGTGGATTTGCATTGGTCTTTCATTCATGCCCTGATGGTCACTAAGCTGCTAGCTCACTAGATAGCCGAGACTCCCATGGAAGTGGAAAAGAGGCCCTCCATCAAGACCCTGTTTCTCTTCACCACAGAGAGAGGTGTTGCATGGTGTTGCGTTTCTTTTTTCCATGTTTTGTCCACTTTCCATCCCAGACACGGCACATGGGACTGCAATATATGCCGATCAATGAACCCCCAGTCAACCACCCCGGCGGCCTGATACCTCAGTCCGGCAGTCCGGCAGTCGACAGGTCGTGTTTGGGAGTCGCTCCTTCCGCGCACCTCCGCGCCCCCAGGTCGGCCGAAAGCTCGAGCGGATGGAGGTCCCAGGCGAGGGAGTCGAGCGGAAGGGACCCGAAGTCCTCGGGCTTCCAATAATGGGAACGATGGAAAAGGGCTCTGATTGGTGGAGAGGCAGTCTGCCTGGCGCATTTTCTATCCTGATGGTATGATACTTAGTAACTTAGTATTTACTAGTGAAACTCTTCCATGTTTGTGAGGTGCAAGTTTTGAGAAGCACACCGATGGTGTTTCCTTTCGCAACCATTCTGGATGCCTAACCAAGGCTTTCAGTCTCGAGTCTTTCCTGTCAAACGCCATGCTTCTTGCTGACGTTCAGGAAAAAGAAGAGGGAGATCCAAATCGCTCAAAGCTCAGATCCTGCGTCCAATCGCTCCTGCGGCCGATCAACAAACACTCCCGCTGCTGCGCGTCCAGCTGATGATCCCCAGTCCGCAAGGAACGTGGTCAGTGTGTGGCCACAAGGTGGCCTTCCAAAGGAACGCCGTTCACGCACGTCCCTCAGGTCGTCGAGCCTCACGCCGACTGCCAAGCCGACATGGCTTAAGCTTTCCCAACTTGGCGACCGAAAGGATCCAATACAACAAAGTAAGAAGACCAAGATACAAATGAAGGTGAAATGGGGCCATAAACCGATTACTAGAATTCCATGTCTTAATTTGATTACGACTTCTTAAGGTGGCTTCCAGCTCCTTTTTCCTGCACCATCGAGTTCCAGGTGGTGAATAGTGACACGCCTTTCTCTAGACACCCCTTCTTCAACGAACGCCTTTTCCCATTCCCACCGTGGTGCTGCACCGTCCGTTTCTCATCCGTCTGTTCCTTTCGGATTTGCCCGGCGACGACCGAGACGGACCGCCAGGTTGGTTCTGCCTGGTGAATCCCAAGGCGCCGTGGAACCTTCCCCTCGCGGCGGGTCAACTCCGCGCACGGCGGAGTTTCAGGAGCCAGGAGACGTTCCTTTTCCATGAGCAAAAAGCACTCCAAAAAGCGTTTAAAAAAGAGCACCCCCCTCCCCCCATGGCTATAGGTTTAGTTTGGGCTCGGATGCGCCACACCGGAGGAAAACAACGACCGGTCGGCTTGCCTGGAAGTCCGGTTTTGATCGGTGGTAAGAATGCTGTCGTAGCAGGTGGAGAAGCACATGATTGTGACGGCCACCACAGAGGTCTACATCGCTACAGCGCGCAGAACTGAGGTCGATGGAAAGAGCTCGAACTGATGGATTTGGAGCATGTAGATGCCTTTTGCCCCAGAGGCATTCATCAATGGCTTTTGAGATGAAGTTCATCATTGTTGGTTTTTCAATCCTTTCTATGCTTTGACCCAAATTGCGGAGTCACCAACTTACATTGCAACAGCCGCCTGTTCTCTCCGCCTGACCCCTTCGAATGGGCAACAGCCCGACCTGGCGTTAGTAAAGATATTTGCCCGGTCGGCTTCCATTTCCACCATTCAAAGAGTTCAGTTGACCTGGTTTTGTAGCCTAAAATCCTGGGTGAAACAATGGTCGTCCATAAAAATGCCATGAACAAAAATGGTGATCGTAATCCTTAGGGTTTGGGGATGTTTTTGGATTGAAGTCGCCTGAGGTCTTGGACGGTTGTCATGGGGTGGGCTCCACGTTGACAGCGGTGACGAGAGATCTGTCAATACTGTAAATCATGAAGACTTCGAAGGATCATCATCATTCATCTCTTGCAATTAATTCTTGCCTCATCACAGGTATGAAGATCAATGTATGAAAGCTATGAAGATCCATGTATGATCTCATTGGTCTCATCAATATGCCAAAGCATGCTAAAGCAAGGTGAGTCAAGTTGTATGAAGATCAATGTATGAAAGGTCTCCACTGGCCTGTGGATTGAGGCGAGGCCCTGTGAACCCGTACCACGTGCAGGCAGGGCTCATGGATGCTCATGGTTTCATCTACCGACTCATGAGGCAGATGCTGGCAACCAGCCAGACCTGGACGATGTTCTGATTTATCGCAGGTCCTGTTGGATCCTCCTGGTGGGATTAGCTTGTGCACATTCTAGCACCTTTTGCAGTTAATGCTGCACCTGCTAACTGCAGTGGGATGCGGGTGGTCTGTTTTAAAGACGTTGCAAGAACTCACAGTTGCGCCAGATCCTGCCGGTGAAGCATGCGTGTGGCGCCCAGCTGTTCAGTGATTTGCTGATTAGATGCTTTCAGTCACTCATAGCATGTTTGTTGTTTTCGTTTCCATCGTCCCCTCTGATTGACGCCTGCAGACCATGGTTCCAATCATAAGAATACCCTGCAGCTTTCTTTCCTGCGCCTGCAGACCATGCCCGCCGCGCGCGCGCCGCCCCCTTCGCCTGCTTGCCGTGGAGGCCGTGCTTCGCCGCCTGCCCTCCAGATCTACAACAAGCATTGCAGGTGCGGAGGGGCCGAGGCGATGAGCACGAGAGGGGACCGAAAGCTGGCCACTGGGCCTGGGCCTGCTGATCATACTTGTTGGACTAATTAATCACTAATCAATGCATCTGCTGGGGAAGATTTCGTTGATGTGAGGGGAACTTTCTGGATTTCTCCCTGTATCCTTCATTCGAGAAGCAATTTGCACCAGACGGAATCCAGTCTGATGAAGGAATCCAGTCCGAAGACATTCTGGATTTACACCTTCAAACCATCCGAGTCTGATGTCCTCATGGTCCTGACGTCGGTCTGCCAGGTGCAGCTGGTGGCTTTGCGCAAGATGTTCGCTGACGCAGGTGGCTCCGACCCGGGCGATCCGGAGGTGACGTCCGTTTGGTTTGAGCAGCTTGGAGGTGTCGGAAGGATCTAGTAATCTGACGGTAATCTGACAGATTGTCTCTGAGGTTCATTCCTAAACACCTCCGCAGTTAGGGACTGAGCGCTTAGATCCACTGGAACTTGAGACCAGCCCATGGCCCATGACTCTAATCTATAATCATCGATTGCATAGATCAGCATGTATTATAGATCTGCCCCTTGCTTGGTTTTTGAGCCAGGTCAGGAATGCCTGCCGGGGAGCCTTCAACGGCGTCGAAACGCGCGGGGTGTCTTCGCCGTCCGCCGCGCCACCCACAGAGGGCCTCCACAGCGCGCCACCCGCGGGTTGGAGTGGATCCTGACTGCACACCGGATGCTTGGGGCATCGCGCCCCCCTCCGATCCCACCGGACCGAGTCAGACCCGGACGCCCGCATCCGCGGCCTGTGCCGCCCAGGGTGTGGGAGAGATGGATCCCCATGGGCATGTCCAGTGCCAACCACATGTCCGGGCAACCCGATCCGCACCGCGCGGGAACTGCCCGAGGATGGGCGGAGGGAGTTGCGAGAAGCGCACTTTGGGAGGCTTAGCCATGAGCCACCGAGATTGGCTGATGCCAAAGAAGGGGCATATCATATCATCATGTATCACATGATGTCACATGTGTGAAATTCACCTTTACAGGGGGTCTCCAAATGGCACCCGAATGAAGGATCTGGCCATGGGAGTCCAGAACTGAACCGAATCGATTGATTTGGCACTCCCACATTTTGCCAGGCAAGTGCAGGTGCTGCCCATCGATAAGTCTCGTCGGAGCCTTGCAGTGACGGAGCTGGCCAAGCTGCTGCATTGATTCCCGAGTCATCCACCTTGGACCTGTGGGGGCTTACTGTAGGACAAATTATAGAACAATCTTGATTTGGAGGTCACGGTGTGGAAAGAAACCTAAGACATTCGCTTCCAGAATCTTGCAGAGGGAGTGCAGGTTCAGAAGGTTGAGATCTTGAGCTTCAGCGCTCGCCAACGGAGTGGCATGGGGAGTGGCCGATTTCTTTCCTTTGAGGATCCCCCCTAAGGCACTTAAGGTATACTCTTGATTCATAGGCGCGTGGCAGATCTGCCAGGTGGACAACACTTCATCAATGCATGCGTTTTGGAATCAGACCAGGAGCTTTGTCACAACATCACTCAGGGACACAAAAGCTGCAGCTTTTTGAAGGTTCCCCCCTTTGGTGAAGAACCTGTTCATGTAAACTCTTGATGAATCACCCCTCCATTTGGCGTGTGAAATCTCTTCATATGAAGGGTTGAACTAAGTTGAAATATCATCAAGAGTCTACCAACCAGAAGTCACATGTCGGGGTGGTGTGAAACGTCCCCTTACGTGAGTGGATGTTCTCAACACCCCACCCCGACCTCCTATGGATCGCACCCCGACCTGGGACCCTGGTCACTTGGATCCCTTTAACGGGGTGTCACTGACCGTCGTATTTGGCTGCTGCCTTTCTTCGGCTCGAACCGGACTGGCTGGTGAGGTCGGGCGGCCCAGGTCGGGCATCGCTACATAGACAAGTGATGCCATGGGATGGTGGAAAGAAGCGAATACGAGTGAAGTTGGTGCAATGCAAAGCTGATGTGGTTGCTTGGATTTGCGCAAGGCCTTCTTTGTATCATAGTATATTGATTATTGTGCCTTGAAATAGGAACTCAAGGAAGAGTGGGAAAAGTACCGGAGTATTGGGCAGTTTTTGCATCTTTTGGACCTGACATTTGCTTTGGAGGTACGTCTGATCATTAGCTGGACCCTCAAACAATACTTTGGAGGGTGTGACCAGTGGTGTCACGTTCGGGTGGAGAAGATGTGTCTGACGGTCGACCTGGGCCCCGCTTTTCTGAAGTCCAAAGGTTGCCGGGAGTTGGTGTTTGCGAGGTCTATTTTGTTTGTTATACCAGGACCCTCCTGTCGGTGCCCTGTCTGGAAGCCTATATATAGGTAGTGTGGGGTAGTTCAGCCAGGACACCCCTTGGAGTGTTTGTTTTGTATATTCTTTTGGTTTTGTTTCTTCCCTCTTCCGCCGGTATCGAGCCTGCTTTGCGGAGTTCGGCAGGAAGGAAATCGCCGGGTTCCGAAGGTCGCATGGAACGTGGAACCTGAACAACCATGGACCAGACTGGAAGATAATGTAGACTCTTGATTAATAACCCCCCCACTTTGAATCAGAACATCCTCTTCATATGGGGGGGTTTATTAATCAAGAGTCTACATCATATTTTTTGGGAATGAATTTTGCCCTCTACAACCTGACGTGGGTCTCTTCCGGGTGTGACGTGGCCTTCTCATCCGGTTTCCATTGATAGATACCGCGCCCATGGCATATCCGGGAAGAACACCAACATGGCGTTCTCTTTTCAGACCTTGAAGCACCACCTCTTGTACATTGTATGGCCAGGTGTTCTTTTTTGCGAGCGGGACGCTATGTGGGTATGTGTTTCCCAGTGTTTTGTTGATTTTTGCTTACGTTTTTGGACTGTTTAGTTGCACTGAGTCTAGAATTGCGTGTGGTATTGTAATCAGTCCCAAAAGATGCCACAGCAGTTTGGAGCCTTCCTTTGTTACAAGGATTCGCCCTTGACCTGTGGAACCGCCATTCACCCCTGACCTGTGGCAATGGTACTGCAAATGGTGGTGATAATGCTAGTGGCAATGGCTATGCTAATGGCAATGGTGATGGTAATGCCATTCACCTTTTGCCATACGGGAACTTGATGCCATTCACCCCATGACCTGTGGGAGCTTGATGCCATTCATCGTTGTTGACCTGTGGTAAGGGCAATGCTAATGGGAATGGTAATGCCATTCACCCCGTGACCTGTGGCGATGGTTCTGCCGCCAGGTGCGAGAGACGGCGAGGGCGGTCGGCTGGCGCGAGTGTGACCTGGGCCACTCGGTGCCGGGGGTTCTGACGGCGATCTGAAGCACCTTCTTTGGAAGCAGTGGTTTACAATAGACTAGAAGGGGTGGCCGGCCCGGGCAGCTGTGAAAACATGCCTCAGCAAAGCGAGATCAAGACGTCGATGGCAACATGACGCCCAGGCATCACTGGGGTGGTGACCTCCCAGACCCCTCATCATCAACTCGAATGGACATGTTTTTTTAATAAATGTCCGTTTTCACTGCAACACCAAGCGTACTTGGATCCTCCGTACGCCGCTGGGAAGCTCCAGATGCTGCACCGAGGCGACGACAACTGGGATGTGGCCTGGGCGGACACGACGGCTGCCTTGTTCCGAGCAGTTCAGCAAGTGAAACCTTTCCAGCGGGTGAACCACTTCCCGCCGCTTGGAGTTTAGCTGAGCCGTGCTGGTTTGGCCAGGGTTGGGTTGAGGTTGGGCATTGGGTACCCACAAGATTCCACAGGGGTTCATTGAAGATTTTTGAAGAAGTAAGACTATGGGGGTGGTTGTCAACCAATTAGAGTCAAGAAGGGCAGGTGCGAAACGAGCTAGCTGCACCACCTGGCAGTTGGAGGACGGCATGATGTACACGGTGCGGCTACAGCCTCCCACTCACCACGTTCATCGAGGGGGAAGGTAGCGGCTGATGCTCATGGTCTCGGATTGGTGGAATGCTGAAACCTATGAAAGGGCAGCAGGGCCTGTATGCTCACTTGTGGTCGATCAAACATTCTCTTGGACGACACTGATATGTGATGCCTTTGGCCTGGAATAGCGGAATCACAACCGGAAGGCCAAAGCCACCGAGGAAAGGACATGTCAAGTCACAAAAATGACCACGCATCACAAGGCCGGAATGTATTGGACCTCCTGATGCAATGCTCACCACCCCACTTCATCCAGCAGCCGCCAGTAGCAACCCTTTGTTACCAGCTACACTTCGAGCAGACTCATGACTAATGCCCTTTGAGGGGCAAGTTTCATGAGCAAAGAAGAATGCATCTTCGAGATTGCTTGACTCATGTCCTATAGCTAATCTGAACAGAGGTGCTAACCAGTGCAATTGGGTGTGCAAAAGGGGGTTCCCATGTTTGCTTGAGTGGGGCAATGCTTTCTGTCTTGACATCGTCCGAGGTTGATGCAGATCATTTGCCGGAAGGATCTCTTAGCACAGCATTTGCAGACGATCCGACAGCTCTGCCCCAGCGGGGCACAGGAGTTTAGCTGCTCAGCGGGCCATCACACGGATGAGAGATTGAGATGGGAAGGTGGTTGATATTGAATGTATATAGGGAGGGGCAAAGCATGACAAAGTGCAACGAGTCTTTTTGAATGGATTGACAGTAGATGGCACAATCTCCAAAGTGTGGTTTATATGGACTCCAAAAAGGGCATCTGGGGTGCCAGTGCCATCGAACCTTTGAAACCACTCTACGTCCCCCGATCCCATGGTGAGGACCATCCAAAAACCATCCAACTGACCGGGTGGCAACCGCGCGCAGGGTTTCACCTGGCGCCTCGTTTCAACGACGTTCCGGTCAACTGACCACATTCCAAAGGCCAACGAACTACACGATTCAGGGTTCCATTTTCTGGTGGTGGTTTGGTCACCCTTGAACCAGGTTTTTTCTTTGGTATACTGTAATTCGCTGGCGTTGCTCTCCAAATCCATCGCTAAGGCTTCTTCCCCGAGACGTGGGTCCTGCCTGGCCGCTGGGCAGACGGGATAGTCGAAACGGCACATGCCAAGAAAGACCGTGGGTTTGTGGTCGAGAACCGGCAACCCAAAATCAAGCAAGCAACCAACAAGTTGCTTGGAGCAGATCGACATAGAATCAGGGATGATCAGGGCAAGCGCTACTATTTTTGCTAGCATATTTTCCAGATATATAGAAGATGAATGAAACATCCGGCTCCGATGTCGCCCAGGTGACTTGCAACGTTTCTGGACCTTTGTCCAGCAAAGCTTCGAGAAGGCGTCGCCGGCCAAGGAGATCTGACGCTCCAGCTTCGGCAAAGGATTCCCAGACTTCAGCGACCTTCAGATCCTAAAGGAGGTGATATAGATGCAGAAAGCACATCCCACCACATCCCCCTTGGTTTCTACCTATTTTGGGGATATGCCTATTCCTATGGCTATTAAGCTTATCATTGATGTATCGCATCCCTGAATCCATAATGAAGATTGACCCGTCGCACCAAAGAGCTCGGGACCTGGACCCCTGCGAGACGGGACCGAGCCTCGCGCCGCGCGGCCAGGAGTCCCGTGGCCGGGAGCGCTCCAAGTCCTTCGGACGGCGCTCGCAGCGGTCGCAAGGCGCGGGGAACGCGCGGTGAAGGCGCCGAGTCCCGGAGGGGAGAAGGTCGCATCAGACGGGGTGACCCCAGGGCGGACCCAGGCGCTGCTAAAGCAATGTTCTTTCTTCTCTAACATGGGCCGCATGCAGGATCGAGACCAGAGAGACATGCACCTTTGTGCGCTTTTGATTGGGTAGACATGGCCTTTTGAGGATCTTTCAGGGGTTAGCGGCGAATTGCTCCCAATCCTCCCACATAGTGGATTCCAGGAGGAGCTCAGGGGACATGCAAAAGAAGAAGGCCGAAGACCAAAAAGGACTCTGTGATGTCGCACCACCTAACATGGTTTCCATTCATATTCTTTTCGAGAGGGCAGGACCAGCCTCAAGTATCGTGAGCCGTTGAGCTGTTGAGCTCTTCAGCCGACCCGGCGCAGGCAGATCAGTCGACCCCCACACGTCCGATGACGAAGATCAGGACGTAGATCATCGGTGACCGGTTCAGTGGCCAATGGGGTTCAGTGGTTCCCTAGTAGCTCCCCAAAACCCGGCCTCTGGCATCTTCCCACAATGAATTGCCAAAAACAACACCTTTAAACCATCTAGTCACTATAGAAGCTACTGGGTGGAGGCCATCGCTAGCTTGGAGGCCGCTACGAACGTCACAATAGCTGACTCTAGTCACGAGGTCATCGCAGCCGTCTATCGTTACGATCGTTTCACCCTCATCCCATCACAATAGGCGCCTCATCCCATCCCAGGAGCCGATGACCTTCATCGCCAAGCCTCGCTCCGCGGCGCGCGGCGAGGGGATCTTCCTTTTCCAGGCGCTGCAAAAAGACGCGGCGCGCCCCGCGCGTGCAGCGCGCGGTGGTGGAAGAAACATCATCCAAATTCATCAGACTTCCCAAAAGATTGGAGGGATTGGAATGGATTCTCCTAGCATGACAAAAATTGCTGTTTTGGTGGATGTCCCAAAACACTGCATTGGAATTCTTTGAGGCACACAATGGATGATGATGTCCTTTTCAACGCCTTTTATATATACCCAGACGCTCCATGGGACTGCCATGTTTACCGACATTGGGGTGGTGCCAGGGGGGGTCAATGGATCGGCATATCTTCCAGTCCCAGACAGGTCGTGTCTGGGATATAGACATCTTCACTCCAGCCGCCCGGAGTCCTCGGCCTCTTCGTCCGCTGTCCGTCCGACCCCCGGTCCTCTGCAGATCACGCAGGTGAGGGCCTCAGACCTGCGGGCTCCGCGCCAGCGGCTCCGGGAGGCGACGCACGACTGGACTGAAGTCGTTGCTTCGGGTCGTGTGGTCCGAAGGATCTTTTCACCCCATGGTGTTTGTTTTGATGTTCGCTGTTTTTTTTCTTTTCTTTGTTTGATTGTCCTTGTTTCTTTTTCCTGGTGCTTTTTTGGGATTGGCCCGGGTGTGATATGTGTTCTGTGGTTGCCGTCTTTCTCCGGACATTTGCAGGGCGTGCTGAGTGGGAGGAGCCATGTTGAAGCGAACGTGTGCAGTTTGAAGGTTCTTTGATTATCCTCAGTGTTGAAAGTGTTTTTTCTTCGGAGCAGACGGTTTTCTGAGTGCGGGGATTGTTCGGAAGACATGTCCTGGATTTGAAAAGAGATGTTCGAAGAACTACCTGGATTTGGTCGGAAGATATGTCCTGAACACACGGAGCAACACAGCAACTTTCGGAACATGCATGGATCAGAATGAACCTGTATAAAGATTATAAAGATGCCCTGCATGAAGCTTTTTGGTGGATGACAACAAGTTTCTATGCACTCGTAAACCTGTGACTATAGGTAGGGAATCACCAGGCCTGCCAAAAGCGAGTTTCATGATTTTGTACTTCTACCGGGACCCTCCAAGGGGTGTCCAATGAACTACCCCACACTACCTATAGGCTTCCATTGGGCACCCCTTGGAGGGTCCTGGTATGGACTTTGCATTCGAATCCAGCTCGGTTCAGGACTTACTCCTGTCACCCACTCTTCATCTGCGAATTCCCAAAGGAGGCAACACCTCCCGCAACATGGTGGCCCAACATGATAGCGGGCATCGATAGCATGGGTACCTATACTCACTGGTGCCCTGGAGGTCTTTGATGCCGAGAAACTAGTAGTCCAGAGCTTCCTGGAGAAACCGCTGCTGATTGACGGCTATAAATGGGACATGCGTGTGCCTTGGCAGATTCCATGTCAACTCCAGGATGATGCGGAGGATGGCGGCATTGTTGCGAAAGGATTTGGGCCGTCTTGCTTGGTTTGGGCCGTTTGAGGTGTGGGAGAGTGGGCCCAGTCAACAGGATGCTTCCTCACTTTCCTCAATGACCAGGTGAGTTGCCTTTTGTTCCTGGAACACAGTGCTACATGTCAGGAGGAACTCTGGTCATGGCTGCGAAAAAACACGGCTCAGGTGGTATGATCGGTTGCCAATACTGTTCCTTCGTGATTCCAGCAGGAAGGGGAAGTTCTGTGACCCGCGAAAAACCCGATCCCTCAGTTTGAAGCTTCAGTTCTGCCGAGAATGGACTCGCAGGTGAGATCATCAGATGTAGGACCTAAACATGCCAAATCCTGGAATGGCAGCACAGAAGCGTGTATCACCATGTATCACCGTGTATCAAGTGAGATCATCAAGTATCACTATGTCTCCTCCCTCTCTCTCATTCTCGTGTGTGTGAACACCAGGAACCCCCATATGTCCGATCCTTCAATCCCATTCCATCGGGGAGCAAGCACAGGAGGCGTCTCTTTTCCGGAGTCCAAACGACGGAAAGCCATCCGAGCCAAGATGGCCTGGGGTCCGTTGAGACCGAGGGGTGGTGGAGGGACACCCGGGGCATCACCGGAGAGGTGTGGGAGGATTTGGACGCCGAAGAAACAGTCCGGTGATCCCTGGGGTTGGGTGCCCTGCAGCCAGATCCAGTTCTTTTCCGCAAAGAGATTCACCAGAACATGCGTTGATTCAGATGTTTTTAATGGATTTTAACTGGGCTGTTTCAGGTCTATTTCATGTCATCCCAGGTCTATTTCATGTCATCCCAGGTCTATGTCTTAGTGACCTCGGCACATCCCTTGACCGTCTACTTGTACACGGATGGCTTGGCACGCTTCTGCACCGACCTCTACGCACCGCCCTCGAGCGAGAATCTGGAGATGCGGGAGATGCATTTGACGAACTTCTCCATCAACTGGGAATCTGAGTTCTTCGATGCTCGGCTCGGAAAGAATATGAAAGATGTGTGATCAGTGTGATCAATATGGTGTTATGTGATGTAAGGGATGGTTTGATGCGTTTGATGGAACACCTCCGATATTCGAACAAACCATGTTCATCCATGTTCATTGTACAAGCGGGTGACTAGATATGTGCGCAACCGCCAAAACGTCCAATGACTAATTTAGTAAAGAGCGGCCGTGAATTTCACTAATTTGGCTAAAACCGGTGAAAGCGATAGGCCCCCCTCAAAAGCGATAGCCATATCCATGCAGTATTTGGATATGTTCAGCTATGTTGACATTGTGGCAAATACCTACAAAAGCGATAGGCCTCCCTCAACAGGGATCCTGACTTGACAGTGCATTTAATTTTGGCAGACGCTCATATAGATAGATATGATAGAGAGAGAGAGAGACTGCGTACGGATGTTTATCGAACCTAAGGTTCAGGACGCGACGTGTTTTGGCGGCCGTTTTTGATGCATATTCAAAAGGTGAACCGTGTTAAGGGACATTGTGTTGCATCCGTACGACCAGAATTGAGTGGGTTTGTTCATGTTGTGAGGCAGCCGCAACGTTTGCTATAAGGCCAAATCCTTGTGTGGACAGACGCTCTCCTGCCAGATTTTGGCCACAAGTTAACTGGCTGTTGGAAAACCAGATGTCAAAGACAAAGGAGAAACGAGTGTTTCCAGGACAACTATATATAGGAGTCACTAGCAGTGCGTGCCAAGCAGTCCAGGAAGGGCCTAAGAATACCAAGTAGTCAGGCCAGATGTTTGTGAGTTTTCTTTCTTTCCGGTGTTATGTTTCTTGAATGTTAGCAACATTTCATCACATGTACCAGGATCATGTCCCATGGTGTCCCATAGACGAAGTGCTAGGTGCTAGGTGTTGTTTTTCACAGGTGTAGCGGACACCTCAGACCTCGTAAACATGTGTTTCAGTGCTGGACCCTGTGTATTTGCAACAGGGTGACTGCATGTTGGACATCATGTAGACTCTTGATGATCAGAAAAAGCAGATGAAGGGGTGTTGCGATCCATGTTCGGGGCCTTGAATGATCCAAGACTTTCCATGACTTTGGCGATGATCGCCGTTTGATTCACTCCTCATTCCTCGAGGGCGGATGGGGGGGTTCGACGGTCAAAGACTGAGGAAGACACGGAGGATGGAGCCACTGGCAGCAAGCGCTCTTTGCGTACTGTACTGGAATCCTCGATCGAAAATGGCCATGGCCCCAGCCGGAGTGGGGATCAACTTTTGAAATCCACGCAGGCGTCGTTTCTAGCAAGGCGAGATAACCATAGTATGCCAGAGCCGTTGATTTGGATGTTCATTTACATGCAAAGGAAACAGAGAACCAACAGGTGGATGTTCTGCATTCTGGACTTGCATCTCTACAGTGGTTTCAGAGGCTCGATGGCACAGACCCCAAGATGTCCTTTAGATGGGGATCCAACCACCTTTTGGGGATTGAGCCATCTACTCTCAATCCACTGTAAATGCAAGGATCCCAAACGTTTCAATGCATATCTTCACGAAGAAACGTGGCCGAATCCAACGCACCGGTCTTGATATAGAGGTCGGTCTTCCATGGACATCGAACAATTCGACTCGTGTAGTGCCAATGTTCAACGGCCCCCTTCGGGGCTCCAGTCGTACCTTCGTCAGAAGGTGGGACTGGGGCGGGTGCCGCTAGGGCCGCTAGGAGGGTACGACTGGAGCCCTAGGCCCTAGGGCAGGCAATCTGGCAATCGTGGCACCTTGAGCAACATAGAAGGGCTGGCCCCTTAAAAGGCCAGAGCCACGTGAGTTTGGAGTTGGGACTTCGTACTTCGTGAGAACCTTCACTCCATTCTCACGTGCCGGCACGAAAAAGATGCAATTGGTTTTGGACTGCTTGAGCTTCGTAAACAGGTGCAACTTTATTTTAGTGTGCTGGAGTGGGTATCCCACTCGGGCCTTCCTCAAGACCACTTTAGTGGGGGACCTGCTTGGTAGTTTGTCCATGTTTGTCCAAAAGGTTGCTAACATACCCAGACACTCTACGTATGGCATATTTACCTACATTGGGGTGGTTTGAGGGGTCAATTATATGACATACATGGAGTGTTTGGGATATACAACAGACACATTGTTGGGCGTGTTTGGGGCGTGGCCGGCGTGGCATGACGATCCGATCGGACGAGGCGAGGAGATTTGGTCGGCGATCGCGTGCTGCGTGAAGAAGACGCTGCTGGCCATTGGCCCAAAGATGGAGGTGCAAAACACAGAAGATAGCGGTGATTATAAACCTCCACCAGTGTTTGCAGAGCGGCATTGCTTGAAGAGCCGGGTCAAAACCATGGGTGAGATGCTGCACCACCGAGAAATTTGGTGATGAAAACAACACCTCCACCGGGTGTGGTGTTGTAGGAGCATGGCTAGAAGAGCTGGGTCAGGAATGGTGTCGGAGTTTTTTTGAGCTTGGATTAATTTACTATTCTTTCTTTTGGATGCTTTTGTTTCTTTTTGGGGGGAGCGCTGGCTGGGGCATCCAACGGCTCTTCCCCTGTTGGACATCAATTTGTTTCAGATAGTATGTAGACATCCCAGTATTTGCAGCGTTTTCATTTGTGCCTCCCCCTTTTTTCAGCAGTCGACTTGGCCCCTGGCTTTGCTACCCCGGGCGCCACACACAAAAGGCGAACCACAAGGCGATGCCTCACCCATGCACCGTCGGATGCCTTGAGCCCTGCGGTAGTCACCGTCGTTTTCGATGGGGATCTATAGTGGGTGTGCTTAGTCAAACCAGTCGTCCCAGTCGTCCCGAAGCCAGTGCGGCGGAGTTGCTGGCGGACACCGTGGTCCGAACCCGCCCGTGGCACCGTGGCACCGTGACGGACGCGGAGAGGACCACTACGACCGCTTCTTTGGGCGGTCGCGCGACGGGGGCGGCAGCGCGTGTTTCGAGCTCTTGGGCTTCGACTTCATCCTCGATGAGCAGCAGAGGCACTGTCGACAGAGAGAGAGAGAGAGATTAGCAGTTCCAAGATGTTCCAAAGGGGTGCTTCAGGTGCCTATTATCCACTCACTGAGGGACTAGAAACATCTAGAAACCATTCTTCCGACCTGGAACTGCTAGGGGCGATGCGTGGCTTCTTACCTTAGGGATCGATGATCTCAATCCTGGCCACCAGGTGCGTAGAATCCTGGAGGTCCTGAGGCCCTTGGGTCACGAAAAATCAGGTAGGAGTCTTGGAGTTCCTCTAGAAGGGGTCATGACAACAAATTTCACACATTCCATCACCAATATGATATTATAATGTGTGAATATGATATGACTTGGTGATGGAATATGAACTTTTGGATATATTTCAATTTTTTTGCATATCATTTGATAGCTATAGTTGTTGTGCTACCATGCTGGGATTGAATTTCTTGTTCTTCTATAGTTGGACCTCGGTTGACCAGATTGAACCGGTGGCCTCTCACGTAGGATGTGTTGATATGTTCAAATCTTGGAAAGCAACTGAGCAACTGCAAACGAACTCGCTTTTGACCAAACAGGGCGCGACATCTTCCTAATGCATCCTAAAGCAACAGGTACTTCATGGTACTTCGCACCCTCTCACGTATAGTTATTACTCACGACATCATCATCATCATCATCCTCGTCGTCGTCGTCATCATCATCATCATCGTCGATGGTCGGATCAGCCGGACAATTCGGGAGGCCGGGATTCCAATGGCTTCGCCCTTATGCCTTATGCATCACTCCGCCTGGGTTGGGTTTGAAACAGGCTCTACTTGTTGGAGGTCAACTCGGCCCCTTCCTTGTCATGCCCCACCAGCTTGGATCGCGAGATCAAGGAGAATGTGCTCTCGGAGGCGCTTCGACTTCACCCGTGCCGTGCGGTGGCAGGGAGGCGCCGCCTCGGCGCTCTGCTTCGCCACTTTCAGTGGACGCGCCACAGCGGCGCAAGGTCGGTCACCGGTCACCGTGAATGGAGGAACCATGAGGAACCTTTTTCCCAGGAAAAGCCGAGGATTGGGCGGATTGGTTGGGTGTGAAAAGGTTTGGTGTGGTGGCCAGTGGCCATTTCTCACACAGACATGGGCATCTTGGAATCACTTGAACCGGATTTCGAAGTCCCCCCGTGCCAGGCACGCCCTGCACCGAGGGTCAGGTCAGGTCTTGCGGGTCTTGCATGCTAGCCGCTTATGCCGCCTTCCAAGACCCTTCAGGAAAGCTTGCAGCGTGACGTGTGCTAAGTAATCGATCAAGACGACCTTGGAGGCTTTTAGATCAAGTTTGCGGGCCATGAGTCCCAGGTTTGGCTGGTCTTGAGCATGACTCTTGTCTTTTACACCAGGTTGGCAATCCGTCCCATCTGTCCCACGATTGGCCAGGGCTTTCGCTTGCTGCGCTTGGATGGGTCTGAGAAGGCGTGGCCGAAACGTATGGGAATGTCCGATTTGGTTTTGGCCGAAAAGGAGCTGTTTGTGCATAATCATTAAAATCTTAGCACATTAACATTTTAGCATTGAATTTCTTTGTTTAAGGTTTTCTTTTGCACTCCTTCGCTTGGGTGGTGGTGGAATGGTAACACCAGTCAGACCTGGCAACACCATCAAGGATAGGTTCAGCATAGAATCAGAACGAGGGTGCTGTCCAGTCCATTTCCAATAGTTTGTACCAGCACCACACAGAGGATACTTAGTCGATGGTAGACACTGCACATTTCGTGGTAGGGGGGACTTTCAACCACCCCTCTGTCGCTGGTAGAAGATTGTAGAGTTGATGAGTCTATCTAGATAGTGCGTCCCATTGCCTGTAACAGTCGTTAAAGGGCTATCACCACTTCTGAGCAAGGCCTGCAACCTAACCATCATGATCGGAGGGAATGGGATATATGATATATACACCCAAAGTTGATGAATGCCCAAAAAGTTTTTGTCCTGAATTTGTGAAAACCTTCCCAAAACCTTCCGCATCGACACAAAAACCCCCGGTTGACCGATGTTGTGGTTCACCAGCGAGTCCCGCCGATGGATCACATGTCACATGGCGTCTACGTGGTGACGGTGCGACTGTCAGAGCCTCCCGGGCGTATCCATAGGCCCCCTTGAACGCCCTTGAAACGGGGGAACCCAGGAGCTCAGCAGGGGCTATATACTAGAGATAATTGTTTATGACTGTTTCAACTTGTTTCACTCGCCAAGTTGCCCAAAAATGGACTCCACTCAATCTGAAGCTTTTCCACTGAAGCTTTCCACGGCGATTTGGCTAGAAACCACCGGCACCTCGGGCGGGTCGGAGCTCTAGGTGAAGCACGCCGAGCGGCAGCAGCAGCGGCTGGTCGACCGGCACAAGGAACACTTGGCACGGCGTGAGGACCCGGCGAATCGACGAGCCAACGAGTCGCGTCGCGTCGCGCGTCGCGTCGCGCGTCGCGCGGGTGAGGACCAGGCGGCGAAATCTCTTTTGGTCGGGTTTCCCTCGCGCGGGCGAGCGTGCGGTTCCATCGGTGGTTTGGATTTGGTTGATGATGATGCTTCCTGTTGAGTGGGTCTTCAAACGCGCTTCACTGGTTCAGCCCCAAGGTTGCAGGGAGCCCCCACCAGCCTCCAGAAAGGTCATTTGGCGCATTGCTCAGTTGAGAAGTTGGCCTTCCACCGTCGCTTTCCAGAACGACGTCACTGAGCTGTCGCACCACAGCTCAGGTGGGAAAAGAGACCCCCCAAAGTATGCCTTGTTGATCCAAGCATCCAAACTGGGTTTGTGCTGGTTGAGACTCGGGCTGTTCTCTCTCTTGTTGTCAGCTTTGGTTGACCGTGATTTGGCAGCTATGTGACTCTGTCACTCCATAGCTGAGCAAGCAATTCTTCGCTTCGTACTCTCAAAGATCAGGATTGGGCAAATCATGGGCAAATCTCACATGGTTCTCTTTGGGTTTTGCAAGCACATTTGAGTACCAGCTTCATGGGGTGTATATGGGTTTATCGTCAGCTCAGTTCAACGACACATCCGCATGGCAAACGCAAGTTAGTCTCCAAACCAATTCTTCCGGAACTTCCAAACGCCTCACAAAGAGAACCAATCAAAAATGCGGAAGAAGATGACTTCCGGAGGAGCTGGCCAGACAGAAAGAAGATTGCAGGAGCGGGTCGCGGGTCGTGGGTCGCAGGACCTGGAAGGTGATGAGAGCACTTGGTGAAGGTGCCCACCACGGATGAACAAGTTGTTGGATGGATTCTGATGTGGCTTGGAGTCATACACACAAATATGTGTAGATGCATGTAGATACAGCCACATGTAATGACAGAATACGACTTCGTAATGTACACATTCTAGTTTAATATGTTTTTGTACACGTACACTTCATGCATGGGATAAGTTGCCAGCATTGAAGACTGTTTTAGGGGCAAACTACTTAAGAACAACATATTCCAAAGAAGGAGGTTGATTGACTACTTGCCCAGAAGTGCCCAATCACCATCCATGTGTGGAATACTTACATACATTGATCCCATTTTTTATGACTCTATATATCACGCGTGTGAACTATTCCATACACGGATGGTTTCGGATCTGCATGCGACTGCAGACGACCCGCAGCGCCTTTGACACATCAAAGGCCCTCCGGGACTCCGCCCAGCACCACGCCTTGCCGCAAAGGTGGTGCAGGTCAGTTCTCAGTTCTGAGTCACCTCGAGACTCTCCAGAACTGCGGACCCAGTTTTGCATGTCCTTGCTGCTCACGGGTCGGTTTTCGTTATGATCAATTGGTCTCTCTGCAGCAGTTCGGTCGAGCTTCCATGGTACCAAGCTTGCAGCAGCTTTGCCTCCACCGACTCGCTCGCCTCACGTGCCCCGTGGAAGACGTCACGTTTGCAGAGCTGGAGCGTTTGCCGGAGCGCTTGGCCTTGCAACTCCTTCTGCTGCTCCGACAGGGTCTGGCAGTCCACCGGGTGGGCCTGGCAGGCTGGGTGCAACAGAGGCCTCCACGGGAATTGCAGCTGAGTGGGTCGCCTGGAATTGAGACAGAGAGGCCAGGCTGAGAAATGAGCCCCCAACTAATCCCTGCACCTCCAGTCATACCTCCACAGCAAGGTGTTTAGACCCGCACCCGGACCCCCAGTCCCACCTTCTCAGAAGATACCACTGGAGGCCTAGGGTCATGGGTTTTGGTCTGACGGGCTCGCCCAAGTTCGGTCTCATCCTCGGCCCGACTGGCCATGTTGGGTCATTCTTCGATGTGGTCATGTGCCATTCGGAGACCGGGGCGGCGGTGTGGGTGTCCTGCCTGGGTGTGCTGCGGAAGGAGGAATGAACACCATATTGCACCGAGCCTGGGGTCAGTATCACGCCAAAAATGAGTGGATTTCTTGGAGATCTCGCCAGGAAGTACCAAGAATGTGGTTTCCAGATGCCCTGTTCTTATTGGTACTTCCTGGCGAGATCTCCAAGAAATCCACTCGTTCTGCCTGCCTGGCATTCTCCCAAGAAGCATCAACAACAAAGGCCTTGGCTAGCCAAATCCCAGCGTCAACGCCAACCTGGTGAGTATCTCCCAGGTCCACCGGCCCTGGACGAGCAACTGGTCGAGAGGATGGATTACGTCGACTGGTGGAGCTGAAGGCCACTCGTTGCTTGGTCGAGGTGTGCTTGAGCCAGGTGAATTGTACAGATGAACTTCTGGGAGACTTGATGTGCTCGTCGTCGACATCCCTTCAGATCTTACAGCTGCAGAATTGTCCGCTTTTGACGGGCCAATTTCTGGTGAGGTGTCGAGCTGAACGTTTGCAGCAACTCAGGTGCGGCATGTGATTCCCCCATTCGATTGCTGGGTTGTTCACCACAAAATTCACTTATAATTCTCTATATATATATATATATTTCCTGATAAAGGCTGCTTTCAGCTTGCAGCTTGCTGCTTCAACTCTTCTCCAACCATCCCTCACCAGCTATTTGTACTAGCAGCCCCCCCCAGTCGCAGAAGAGTCGGCGGCCCAATGACCGGAATCCTCGAGGTGGGGACCTTCTTTCTTTCTCCTCCACACCCTCCAGACAGGCCAACGACCTTCAAACATCCCCCCCCAGGTGGGGTGATTTGTCCAGATTTCCCCGGCTGCCGGAAAAAGGCATCCAATGACTAAACCACCCTGCGAGTCCAGTCGACCATTTGTTTGAATGGTCTGACCAGGTGATGAACGAAAAAGGCATTTCCTTTGCTTCGGTGCCCACCATGGACTTCTAGGGTCAACATCTCCAAGATCCCAGCTGTCCCAGCCCTTGAGGTGCTGTCCCAGCCCTTGAGGTGTAGCAACTGTTTCAACTTCCAGGACCTCTTCCTTTGCGAGGCTTTGTCCAACTTAGAGCATCTCCGTCACCTGAGCCTCGGTGGCTCCACGCGCCTCACGGACGCCCTGCTGGCCGGCCTCACGGGCGGCTTGGCGCCGAATGTGCCACCGAGGGTGGCGGAAGAGCTGGAAGTGCTGGACCTCTCACAGAAGCTCAGCAGGCGGATCAGCATGAGTTTGTACTATTTGATGATATTTGATGCTATTTGTAAACTTGTATGTGCGATTGCTCCCATTGTGGAAGAACAGCACTTTTTTACATGACTAACTTCATGTGGACTCTCAGCCTGGGCCTTGACGGTGCGCGTGTCCAAGACATTGAATGCAAATTATCCCCGCGACATGCACCAAAAGGAGACTGTAAGCCTATGAAGGCAAACCTGTACAAGCCATAATGTTGACTGTTGATTGATATACCCCCTACCAGATGTTCAAAAAAAAACATGTTTTAACATCTCGAGATGGGGGTGGTATCAATCAAGAGTCAACATGACCTTCCGCAACATTCACAGAACTGAAGAACGTCCCCAATGGTTTGTACCGGAAGATTGACGTCCGAAGTGCCACACCATCCTTCTTCTTGAAGAGAAGGTGTCAGCCATGAATATGACAGTTGTCACTCACAGGTCTTCGCAGAACCACCATGTAGCCCCCAAACCCCCAGCGCAGGAACTGACTCACACGTTGGGGTGGGGCCCGCATCACCGCGCGCCCCCCAAATCCACCAGCTAAGGACCCAAGTCTCTGATTCTGGTGCTCTAACCTTGTCACGCCTCTCAGCATTGGTGGTGCTGATCCTCTCAAGGACGCAGGTCTCATCCAGTTCTCTTCGACACTTGGCCACTGCTTTGAGACTTCGCCCCCTGCTGCCCGACCGCCCCAAGGACGGCGTTCCGTCGTTTTGGGACGGCACGAGCGATGAAACGCTTTTGCTTGAGGGGATCGCAGGTGTTCATAGCTTCTTGGAGGAGTGCCCAGTGCAAAGTGGAGCATGTTCAAATGAATTCGTTATGTTTTTCAAACAAGTTTTCACGCTGGCTTTGGTCCACCATGGTCCACCCCCTTATGGGGCAGATCGAATCCATTGGACGTGCACCACTTCAGATCCCTTGGAAGGCCTTGTTGCGGAACTGCTCCGTGGCGCAGCGGCTTCAAGGGCATCACTTCTCCTGGGCCCAGGAAGCACCAGGAGCTCTGGAACCCACGGGCCACGGCTCGGAGTGGGAGACCTGGCCGGAGGAAGCTGTGCGGCATGCGGCGGCCATCGTCTTCACTGAGAAAGAGATCGAAGAGATCCTGGGACCTCTGGGTGGATCTTCACCACCCAATAGGGGCGGAGTTGAGGTGGCAATAGATGGAACACACATGGAACACATACGGGTATATTCACACGAACCGGGGGTCTCTAAGTCTACCCCGTGGGTGGTGCTGGGTGTGATTGTTGTCTTCAGGTTGGAGACCTCCATCGAAGGAATTGGCACAAGTCTTTCAACATATAGTCACGGGACTCCCTCGATATGCAGACACTCTGTAGGACTGGGCCATATTTCGATCGGTTGAGGTTTCAAGGAGGGGTGTTTTCCAAGTCCGCATGGAGCCCCTTGAGATCTGCAGACCTGTCGGAGGTGAGGACTTGACCCGACCCCTTCCTTTTTCCTTCCGGACGACGGTGCAAAGGACGAGGCCGAAACGAAGATTTGCTGAGCTGGATAGATCCTCCGTCGTCTCTCCGCGGCTTTGTGGCGCCATCGCACGCAGCGCGAGACCAAAACACGGCGAGCGCGTTGTTCGGACGCAGATCGTCGGGGAATCATCATTGAACTGTAAGAAAGCACCTGTTGGTATTAGAGGATTTCATAGTCATCCCAAGTCGGGGGAATCCACGTAGTTATCGGATGATTCCAAGAGTCCGAGGAGCGTACATCATGCATCCTCATGCCACTTGAGCAGCGGTTTTTTGTCTATGAAAGAGTTTATACAAAAGTGGAACTACTCTTGATGCTGCGTAGGCTATTCTGCTTGGGGGCGTAAGCTTGCGTAGGCAACCGCGTAGGAAAACATAGTAGTGCCTCGCGTAGGCAGATTTGCGTGGTTGTAACTTGGAGTAAATCTAATAACCTGTAACACGGAAAGAACAATGGACCGATATTCATCCTTTAGTTGACTTGCTTGGTGGCTGGTACTTGAAGTTTGAGGAAGTAGATCTTGAGGGATATGAGTGACCTTGTTGCTGTATGCTTCTTGGGGATCACAGTGCGAACACTGTGTGAGGGATTTCGACCACAGGGGTTTGCTGAGGAAAATGTATTGCGCGCCCATCGAGATGGGCTGTGACATGGTTTTCTTTGAGTTTGTCAACTTGTTGAACAAACCGGTACAGTCAGCTTTCTGAGCCTAATTTCCATGGTCATTCACATATGTGCATGTGTGTACAGTACCGGTACAACTGTAGAAACGTGTGACAAGATGCAGGCGTATGCTTTGCGTATGCCTTGCGTAGATGCTCGCGTAGGCTGCGGCTTGGTTTGGAAGGGGTTGGCCCACTTCTGTTTTTCATGCTTGTAACCTATAATGTGAGCCGTTTAAGCAAGCATGTAGTCGTAATTTTTCGTGTCTGTCTCTATGAGCCGCGCCGTGAAAACATGGGACGACTTCACGCCCAAGTACCGCAAAGAACTCGCTCTGTCGCTTGCAGACACCATCATGGAGAAAACCGTTTCCCTTGATGAGGCTGCTTCTTTCCTCCAGCTTGTTGGGCAGGTCATTCAAAAGAAGACGGGGCAGACGCTACGCAACCTTGTGTTTAACCAGGTCGAATTCACCACCAGTCAGGCTGAGACCCTACTTCGCTCTCTAGCTCTGCTCCGGGAGAAGTACGCTACCCACAATAGCCAACTACATCTCCCCAAGGTCAGCGTTCAAGAAATGGATTGCGCCACAGTGAGCTCCTGCATAGCTTTGAAGACCTTGAATAGCTTTGGGTACAACATAGGGAGAAAGGAGTACAAGCACGCAACCTCAACTGAACCAAACTCTGCTGCTCGGCAAAGCCGTGTAGGCCGAACAACATTTCCTTGGCGAACATCCCTCAACCTCCTGGGCCAGAGCCTGGCGATGTCAATGAACTCGTACGACGACATATGGCCCAGAAGCACATTCAGCCTCATCAGCCTGTTGCCCCTGCTGGGGACATTGAGACTTTGCTGAAAAAAGCCGAGGACAGACTGACCAAGGCTGCTTCTAAGAAGCGCCGACAGGCACAGGCTTTGCTGTCTTCATCTTCAAGCTCGTCTTCTTCTGCATCCTCATCTTCTTCATCTGCATCTGCTCCGTGAAGGCAGCGTGCAAAAAAGGCCTCGCGTAGTCGACCGCGTAGGTACCTCAACAAAACCCTCGATCTGGAACATGCTCGCGTAGGCTACCTCACATACTTTTGATATGTCGCGTATTCGCTCGCGTATACATGCCGCGGAGTGTATACTTCCAAGCACCCAAAAAAAACACCACTCACTTGACCATACTTGACCAACAAAAGCTGTGTCGGACGGTCACCAGTTTAACATCACCTTTTTTCAGATAGCCTTGATGGCAGCCTTGATGGTCCTATGGGGAAGTGAGCTCACCCATCTGTTCACTTCCCATCGCTTCCTTCACCAGAGGGAAGTCCTTACTGATCCAGACCTGTGGGTCGAAGCTGGGACTAGGGGCTGTATGGTGCTGCTGTGTGCATTTGGAGAGCGTTCTCCCAAGCAGGCAGCAGTTCTTAGTTCATTTGATTGAATTTGATTCGTGGCAAGGCAGATGTGTTCAATGGCGGTGCGTGGTTCCACGGATCGCTTTTTAAAGAGACATGGACCGTTCTGACGTCTCCGGGCTGTCGATATCCCCAGAGTTCGGGGTGCCTCCCACGCGTCCGTCCGCAAGCGGAGTCGGCTGCACCGGAGCGGTCCACACCAGGAGCTCCGTGGGCTTCTTGAGCTCCACCCACCGCTTCCCCAAGCTGCCCCCAGTGGGAGTGCCGGGCACCCTTACCGCGCCTGTGCCCGGCGCGGTGCCGGTGCCGGTGCCAGTGCCTGAGAAGCGGTCGGAGAAGCACTGGTCCACGCGGCTGGAGGAGGGGGAAAGGGACGAGGAGGTGGGGGTGGTCCTGGGGGGTGTTTCGAATCGAAAAGGCTGCTTGAGATGACAGGTGGTTTGGAAGTAGCTGTAGCTGTATTTCGATGCAACAACTGCCTTGGGCTTCAATAGGTTTCCATATAGTTGCAGAATTTGAAGGAGGTGAATGCAAGCGGTGCAGGATTCCTTGAATGAACGGGGGCCTCTATATAGAGGCTTAAATGATGTTTATAATAAGCATCATAGATGTCCCAGACACTCCATGGGACTGCCAGGGCCATATATGCCGATCAATTGACCCCCCAGCCAACCACCCCTGGCCGCACCACTCGGCAGTCCGACATGGCAGTTCCAGACGTGTCGTGTCCGGGACCACCAGCATCCAGGGTTCCATCGCTTAGCTCGCAGAGGAAAGTCCTCCAAAAGAGCTGGAGCATCTGAAGGCAGGGTCGCCTTCCCACGCGCGTTTCACGCGCGTCGCGCGAAGCGCGACCCACGTTTCACGCGTTTCCTTCCCGATGCGGGACTCCAAGTCCTCCGTGGCCCATACCTAGAACCTGAATGACCTCTACTTTGGACCACCAACCACCCCAAATATGGTCTTTTCCCATCAAAACAGAGGTCAAATGGCTTCCAGGCTATGAACATCCTCCCCTTTTTGGAGGATGACTTCGTTTCGACACCACCGGCGCCATGCCTTGCCGTACTCCAGCCGCGCCGTACTCCACACGTGCCATGAACGTCGGTCCTTTGAAGCGGAACGATCCCTGCGCGGCGGCGAGGTGAAGAACGTCCCAGGCTTTGTGAGCTACTTGGAGGATTCTGAGACCGACACCGACAGGAACAGCGAGGACGAGGAGAGGTGTCCCGGATGGGTGTACGGATTCGAAGCGGCCACCAGCGTGGTGTTTATGGTTTTTTGGACCGAGCAACTAGGGTTGTGCGGAGGATTTGTTTGCTACAAAAACCATTACAACATCAAGTCAACCATTTGGAAAATGGTCTTGGACTTCTATAGGGTACATGGACCTATGGGTTCAATATCAGATGTAAGTAGTCAACCCTCAGGTTCTTGGGGAGGGCCAAAGTTCCCTCCATGTGAAGACATCTTCAACTCGGGTCAATTTTTTGTGTAGGGTTCGGCTGCACTCAGCAGATGGCAGGTGTGGTTGAAGTCTAGTGAATCCCTTTTGCGTAGTGCTGAACGGCCGATCCGCAACGAGGTCTGATTGCGTGATTCGATTGTTGTAAGTCTTGTGTTCAGGATTGGGGTGCAGTGCTGAGAATGAACGGTAGAACTTGCTAAACCTTGCAATGTGAGGTTCACGTGGAGTCGAGCCACGGGGTCATGATATGATCATGATATGATCCATCATGTTGTTGATGACATTTGGTGCCTCAATCTGTGGCATGTATGACATTCTGTGGCCAAGTCTTGATCTCTTCAAGGTCCTGTGCAGGGCGAAGCTCTATGTTCCCTGCGAAATCAAGCTGTAGGGCTTTGATTGAAGTCCTTCAAGACTTCAAGGGGTCACAGACTAAACCAGGCTAAGCAGGGGTCACATCACCATGGCCAAGCAGGGGTGCCAAGACCTGGGCCGTGGCGCTCAGACGAGACTACGAATGCATGTGGCATATTCAGTCACCTAAAGACCGTGATGATCCATGATCAACATAGTCGTTGGACACGGGCTATATATATATATATATACATATACATACTGTATATACCTATTATACCTATTAGATATATATATATATGTATAGACACACCTAGAACCTGATTGACCCCTGTTTTGTTTTCAATCCGTGGTCTAGACTTCTATCAAACCAGAGTCTTCCTAGTTCCCAGACCCCTTGGAGTCCGGAGTCCACAGGAGGCCTTCGGCTCCCAGGCGGAGGAGGGCTCCGACCACGAGGCGGAGGCGTTTCGCTTCCTGGGCATTCCGGTGAGTCAGGAGCCAAGAAAGATGGCGGAAATGGTGAGGTCCATAGACCTATTGTACACCAAAGTACACTATAACTTGACTATAACAGACTATAACCCTACTGTAAGTGTGTAGGGCTTGTATACAGTATGTGTCAAGTCTAGGGTTATGTAATGTAGTATTTTTTTGGGGAAACATTTGCTAGTGCGTTTGGGCAGTGCCAAGCTGGCCCACAAGAAGTGGCGTGAGTTGCTGAGGGTTGCATGGGCCAAGCCATGTTGCACCATGTTGTACCAATATGATAACTGCTTGCTCATGCCATTGTTGACACATCATGGCACAGGTTTTCCATTATTTTCCAACTGATTTCTGGCTCAATACCTTCAAGCGTTACTCACCGGAGATGTCTGCCAGCAGAGGTCCCAACTATGTCCAGATCTTGCCCATCTCCGAGGATGAAGGCATTTGGCAGGAGAGAACTGTGGGCTTCTATAGGTGCGGAGGCCGTCCATCTCGAGATCTTGGGGGGCATTTGCCGAAGACAGCACAACCTTTCTAGTGCTGCATGTTTGACAGCAAAGCTCTTGAAAACATGATTCACTTGCAAGGTTATCTCTCAATTCCCTGGTGTTTCAACCGTATGTATGCAGAATTTACAAGAAGATGGACCTCAACGTTTACTTGTAGAAGAACCCAGGCACTGCGAGTGCGCTTTTGTTGCTTTGAGACAAGCACATGGACATTCTGCGTCCATTGAAATCGCCATGTTGGACGAAAGCATTCGCCTCAGGTGGACTAGACTCACGTGACGTGTTCGCATGCCTTGGCCGTCAGGAGATTCAAGCTGGTGCTACCCGACTCGCCCAAGGTGGGGGTGTTTGACTCGCGAGCTCGAGTCGAAAGTGGTGCTTTTTGGAGCATTCAGGCGGGAAATCAGGAGAAACCAGGTCCAACCAAATCATCGGGAATTTTGTGCATTTCCTTCGGTGAACCACGAGCCCTCATTGACTCACGCCGCTGTTTCTCAGTCGCCTGAGCTCAATGCAGCAAAGTATCAACATGGCAAAGCACTCATTTGGATACATTTGGAAGGATTGTGGGAAGAGGATGTGAGTTTTTCTAGGACCACTTGGAGCTCCAGAGGGATCCAGGAATACATGTCACGATCTTTCACGGGCCGATCCACCTCTTCCTGTGGATTGCCCGGGCCGATCCGCTCGCCGAAAAAGCAGCAGCCTGCACCATGCGTCCCAGACGTCGAACGAAGACGTCGAAGGTCCGCATGGCTCGTCCTGAGACGGTCGTCGAACGACCTGAGACGTCTCGGTCTCGCAGAGTCCGTCCATCGAGGATGGCCCTGGGGGCCGTGATCGGATCGATGTCACGACCTGGCGCTGGAGTGGGGTGGCGACCGCCAGGTGCCAGGCAAAACTGGAGTATAGTCTAGTACAGTAGTATGTTAGGGAAGGAATCCCACTGACGTAGAGATGAGTTGGTCCTTCTTTTCTTAGCGCTTGGCGCTTGGATGGGTGACTTCCTCTTCTTCTGCATGCTATGCTCACCTCCCACCGTGGGCTGTTTGGACCCCTTGGCACCTCCTAGCCCCTCACCGACCCCCTCTCCTCCAGGCTGGACGGCTGCGCGCCCGCAGAGCCAGCCACCGAGACGGGTGAGCCAAATGGCGACTTCAGGCGGAGCCGACCGAGCGACCGGGCGAAGACCACGGCCACGGGAGGGGAGTGGGACTGGAAGAGGCCGGGCTCCAAGAGCAGCCCTTTTGGTTGAACCACCCTCATGTCACATGTCTAGAAAAACAATGAAAAACATCTATAATACTGTACATCATTATGAATCATTATACATCCAGGACACATCGAAAAGATTGCATTTTTTTGGAAAACACAGATGCCAGTTCCATGGAGTGTTTGGGGTGGCTAGAGTTTTTGATCGTTTCAATCATGATCCATCTGTAATCTGGTTGGGCCTTTGGGCGACATGCCACCCGACCGTCTTTCCGAGAAACCATGGGAACCCACCCGAACTGGCTGATTTCGGCCGCCACCGAGCCAACCCACTGGGCGTTTGCAGGTCCGCAGGCTCTGAACCAATGATCACTCACCTGTTTGATCCTGTTTGTTTTCAGGTGCTCCGCCCCAAACGCCGAGAAGCAGTAGCCGTCCTCGTTTGAAGACCATGTTGTCCGGGGCCTCTGCCTGCGACGTGGCGAGAAGAATTGAACTTGACAGGTTCGACATGAAGTGACACCAATCTTTTGCAGCAGAAAAGCTCGCCATCTATCCCAGATCTACTTGGATTAAGGCAGCCTGAGAATGAGCCGTCAAAGATGTGACCTCCCCCCTGAAAAGATGCCGAAAAAGGATCAAAGAGAGCGGATCCCAGACCAAAGGAAGTTCTGACCCCCAAGTCAGCTTCAAGAGTGCCACAAAGCCGATCGCCTTGGTGGGTCAGCCGAACAAAAACTGTGGTTGTCCATGAGCTTTTGATTCTTTAACATGCCTTTTCTGAGGCCGAAAAGTGTGCCACCAGCACGTGTGCCACTTGGCAGATGGAAAGAAGGAGAGGTCTTAAAGAGCTGAAAGAGCCTTTGGTGAAGACTTCATGTGGCTGTCAAACCTGAGTTTACTTCATTGACATTTATTGTAGCAATATTCACTTCTAAGTAAGTTTTTTAAACACCTGACTCTGATGAAGCTCAAGTGGTAAGGCTTTACAATTTATCAGAATCACTTGGTGGCCACCCATGGAAAGGAGGATGCCACCCTCCACACTCCACAAAACAATACATGAGACCTGTACTACGTAGATCGTCAACGGTTCCTGTACGCAGCTTTCCCTCGGCGACAGATTCGGAGTGATCGGCTGGGACTCAGCATCATCGCTCGCCAGATTGCGTGGAGCTATGACTTGGCACATCTCACCGTTCTCCAACCCCCAAAAACGTCCCCCAACCCCCTTTTTTGGCTTCATTTTGGCCGGGGATTGGCTGAGAGTTCCGTTTCGGTCGGTCTCGGTCGAAGGCGGTTTGCTCTTCTTCCTTTCGATTCGGGCGCCGAACAACTCAGAGTTCGTGCTCGTTGGGCGGCCGAAGGGACGGAGGACATGGGGGCGTACAAGTATGAACGACTCAAAACTGAAGTCATTCCAAACCAAAACCATCCCCCACCAGGGCCCCCTTTTTGGGGTGGTTCATGGACATCAACCTCTAAGGAGCTTGGAGCTACCCCGAAGAGAAGCTCTAGGGGGCCTTGGTAGATCATTGTGACTGATGGGGCCAGCCGGTCTTTCTTTTGGTTGTTGGGCTTTGGGCTAAGCTCAAAACCCATGTCCGGCCCTCCGGGTTCGGTGGAGCACCGCGTGGTGGGCCCGCCAGGTCGGTGCGATCGGTGCTCCCGCTGAAGACGGTCCACCTCGGGCTTTGACCGAAGAATTTTTGGCCGATGGATTGGCTGTTCCCGGATGGGCTGGTGGCTTTTTGATTGGGAATGGATGTTGGGGCTAGACGTTTGACCAGATTTATTGGAGAGGATCCGGAGTTTTCGGTTGTAGCGATGATATCCACTAGCTGACTAGCTGCTAACTAGCAAAGCGGATTCAGTATTGCAAGAGCTTTCTCAGCAGCAAGATTTGCAGCAAGATCCTCAATTTAGGAAGCCAAAGTTCTTTTTGGGCTGGTCATCACCCGGTCGGGCAGGGCCATTTTGGTTGAAGGGGCGCTGTGAGGAGCTCCTCACGACAAGCCACTGCACATGGAGGACTTGTGCAGGTAAGGAAGATGCGGACATGACTGGCTACTCACCAAAGTTCATCCTTTTGGGAACGCAGAAAGCATTCAGTCTGACAGACATGTTGATCCCCCCATACTGCAGGTCAGTCGTTGTGTCATGGTTGGTACATGTGTCTTTGGAATCCATGTAGGAATCACCATCTTAACGGCATAGATCAAACATCGGCACCGGTTTATGTCGCGTGCATCGCCTTCTTGGCCCCGGAACTTGCTTCAGATCTCACGTGCCTCATGACTCATGACTTTCACATTCTTTGCCCGCTGCCATATTCGGGTCCAGTCATACCTTCTAAGGAGTTATGACTGGAGCCCTAGTAAAAATGATGTCAGATCACTCTGGACGTTCTGGTGTACAGTAATTGTACAGCTTTTCGGTGTGCCCCACTACCAACAGTCGGTAAGAAACTATTGCTATCCATCGCCATCCTGGTTCTTCAAAGTGACCTTTTGATAACCTGGTTTGAGGTCACTTAAGCCTCCTAAGGGTCAATTAGGAACCTTCAAAAGGTCACTTTGAAGAAGCTGGATATCACATATACATTGTTATACATCACTAACTATCCGCTGAACCGACGGAACCTTGCAGATCTCTCCAGTTTCTTGCCTTACCAAGTGACTACTCACGTGACTTCAAAGAGTTTAAGCAAAGGACTCGCATCACAGGACCGTGACCGACCCACACCTCGAGGCAACTCTGTGCGGACGAAAAAATAACCGTCCAGCCGCTATTTTATAGGTCTGGGTGTTGTACCCAGACCCAGGACATCACAGAACCATTGTTTTACTCACTCCAAAACTAGGTGCCACCTTTCTTGTCATGATGATTTGAAGGCTAGGGAACTGTTGCCAATTCCGAGACATCACTTCTGAACAAGTACCACGGTCGAGTCTCCGATGCACATCTCCGGTTCTGTCCCTAAGGGACGATGGGCCGTGTCATCCGCCGGTTTCGTTGGCCGTGGGTCCTACGGTGTGAAGTGCCAGGCAGCTGCTTCCAGTCCGGGTCACCAGTGGACAACCCTACCCTACTTATAGGTACTCGATTGGACACCCATTGGACGTGCTAGGTATATAAATATATTAATGTATCATACAATTGCATGTAATTGCCTCTTCATGGAATGACAAACTATTAAACAATGCATATGTTATATCAAATAATCACTAAGCCAGGAACTGCCACACCGTTTGTCAATTTGTGTTCTTTCTCATTTAGGAACTGGTTTCCAAAGACTGGTTTTAGGTGAGCACTGATTCGACAGTCCACAGCCCTCAGATGTCCACAGAGTCCAGAACACTCCACCTTGCTCCGCCTATTCAACTACCACGCATTTACTCATCAACTATAGATATCCGATTTATCCAAAGATAAGAACCCCCTCAGCCACCACGCTACTCATTGTTTGTGAGAATGATCGGACAACACCCCCGCAACGTCAATTTGCCATGTAACAAACGCTCTCCCAGAGTTGAAGAGTGAATTTGTTTGCACACCTCATTGGCAACACCTGAACTGGCTGAACTGGCATTTGGACACCGCAGGACGCCAGGGCTGCGTCTTGAATCGGCACTTAAAGGTGAGCCAGCTGAACTGGACATCATTTGGTTTGATCCCAGTCGATCAGCATCCTCCCCACGAAGCAAAACATAGGCAACAACAAACCCCCCCCAGCAGCCCCAGCACAGGAGAACACATGTTTTTATGTCTCCAGCTTTGGCAGACACCGAGAGTGGAGACGTGGGCGTGTAACTAAAAGAGGACACAATTAGGTCAATAGGTTGGGTTTGTCCGAACTTAACCGTCACAGTCAGGTTTCACAAGCAAATCACTATTTTTGGACAAGGCCTGCAGCAAAACCATCATCATCCACTGTTGCAGGAATTAGGATAGACCCAATCAATAGGGAAGATCGTGCGTGCCCTGCTTCAGTTTCATCCTCCATGGGGCCTTGGTTGGGACAATGTGTTGGAATGAGCACAGCAGAAAAGGGATCGTGGGTAGACCATGCCTTGTGGCTGTGGCACTGGTGGCTTTTCTTGGTTCATGTTTCTATTGTGTGTGAGCACCGTCACTCGCAAGCTGGCAGCCGCACCAGTTTTGGTGTTTGTGTTTCTTTCTCCCTGTTCTGGGATTTTGAGCCTATGTTTACAGCGAGTTTGCCAGCAACATCCACCATCTAATTCGTTGTTTCGGGGTCTTGGGATCAGTTCAGAGGTGGAACAGCTGGAGACGCCGAGCCGAGCCGGAATACCCTGTACAGACTGATCGAGCCATGTCTGAAGACAGTCGATCCAAAGAATTCAATTAGGACGTTCCCTTTCTTGGGAACCAACAGAGGTTAAGTGACCTGAACGTTCGGACCCATCACCTGGAGTACCTATAGTAGGATAGTCCAACGTTCGGGTTCTTCAACCTCTGGAACACAACACAATCGCTCGGAGAGGTCACGAAAAAGCGCTCCGATGCTCGGAGCGGTCCGTCTCCTGGGAACGTTCGGACATGGGCTGTGCGGACATGGGCTGGATTGGGGCACCCATCGCGCGCAATTCTTGGGACACTTTGGGAGTATTTAGGGTTGGCTAAGGTTGGCTATTTGGTGTTTCTTTTTTTTAAATGTAGAGATTTGTAGAGCCTGATGTTTTCAGAGCCTGAAACATCCTGATGGGGTTTGGGAATCCCTTTTGGAACCCATCACTCAGAAGGACATGGAACTGGCGCGTTTTTTTACTCGACCGCCCTTGCAAGCAAGGCCCGCTTCCCACCCGCGTGTCTCGCATCGAGGTTGTGGCAGTGAAGCCCGAGGTGCATTGGAGGTGCGACAGGGACCTGACCAAAGGTGCTGGTACCCTGTTTTCACCAAGGAGGGTGACTGTCGGGCGTGCTGAGGTGAAGCTTCAACATTTGAGAGAGAGTTTCTTTTTGAGTTTGTAACGTTCCATACAATGGATATACATGGGTTGTGTGTTTTTTTGGGGGGAAAATGGAAGAGGATCTATCAGGATGTGTTTTGGGGGTGACAGCAGTGGCAACTCCGTGCAACGTGCCAAACGCTGTTGGGGTGGATCTTCTTCGTGTCGTCGTGGCTTTGCACCTGCGAAAGGCAGCAGCGAAGCAGCATTTGGCAGGGGCCCGGCCCTCTCAGGGACCCGCTGCCAGTAGTGAGCTATTTTTGGCCTCAAGGATGAGACAAGGCAAGTAGCAAACAAGGATGAGCCACGTCAATCAAGTAGAAGGGGTAGTAACAGGATGCTCAAGTAGTAAGCAAGGTAGAGGATCCATTCATATCTTGCCTACCCCCTTCGTTTTGCCCTGCATGATGCCGTGGCAAAAGGTCTTCGAGGGCTCTTCCACTGGCTGGGTATTTGTTAGCCTCGAGACGTATCTCATATCAGACTTCAGGCAATCGTCGCATGGCTTTGCAGCGTTCAACTTGAGTTGAGGCTACCTTCAAGAAAGTGTCTGCCCACACGGATGCCGGCTCCTGAGGGCAGCGGGATGTCAGCAAAAAGCAAAACAACTGTTACAGGTAGCAATCAATTAAAACTGGCAAACACATACGGAACATATTACTAATTATTCCCCAAACAGCTTTGCTGTGAGGGGTTCTCAATTCTTGCATAGAAACGATGCTGGGCCAAGATGATTCCCGCCCTTTGTCTCCCCTTGTCTCCCATGGCGTGTCTGGATGCTGGGCTGAGATGATTTTGCTTTGTCTCCCTTTGTCTCCCCTTGTCTCCCATGGCATGTCTGGATGCTGGGCTCAGATGATT